GAGTAGATACACCCAGAGAGTGTAACACATGAACCGAATCTTCCAGTAAATACACAGTACATTTAGGATCAAAATTCCAGAGCACCGGAGGCTCTCGCGAAAAGGAATTGTGATACGGCGATCTCCAACACACTCACAGTATCAGTGTAGTCTGAAGGTAATTGAGAAGCCTAGTCTGCTCAACCAAGTTTAGGTTTCAACGTGATTGTTGGTGATCTGAACATTAGTAGGTTTGTGGGTTTTGGTAAGGGGGGGGGTAATGATTGAAATGTGATCAGTTATTCCCACGTGTTTATATCCTGAAATTATATCCTTCTCAAACAAATCAAGTTTAAAAACCATCCCTAGTCTCGGATATCTTGTGGGAAAGTCGAGTATTTTTGAACCTGGAAATCACTACCCCAACGTAGTTATGGTGTACATAGGGTCGAGATACGACCCCAAGTTTCTCAAAGTAAGAAACCGGGAGTAATTCGTCTATACCAAACGGCCTCCTTTGTTAGAGACTCGATTGATCATTCACTGTTGCATTAGTTTCACGTTGTAGTGGGGTGCTGATTTCCTCTTATTATTCATTGATGAAAGACATGGTCTGCAGTGACTAGGCCTGTTTATACTCATGTTTATCAACACTACAGTTCACTAAACTTCGAGGATGTTTGCTCATTGACATTACGCTGTGAATGTTGGAAAGTGAGGTTACAATAAGAAAGATAAACAACTGATGGGATTCATGTGTTTACTACTGTGGCCACGTGGAGTGCGTTTCGACTGTTGAGTCCAAATGCAGACTGCATTTCACATAATGGTTGAACACCGTGTTAATCGCGATAGATAGATAGACTGTATGATAAACAGCCAATCAATATTATGTGACCTTTCTTGTCGCGATTATTGGCCAATTTATTGTAACTCTCACCACGTGATGACCTTGAATGTTCTTTTTTGTCTGTCACTTTACTTGTATATACATGTAATTAATTGACTGTTCATTTTGTCCGTACCTTCAATACTGTTCGGTACGTTTTTGTCCTATTTTTGTAATGACAATGGATTTGTACATTTTTCTTGGTGTAATTGTATGGTTTATTTTATGTTTTAGAAACAGATAAAGTTAAAGTCAAGTCATCCTGTTTTTAACTATAGCTAAGCCGAGACTCTGTATCGTCAGTATTGAGGAAGGACTAAATCTGTAGGACAAAAATAATCCTACAAAGTTTCGAACAGTATGTCAGATGAAAGTTATGAAACTATGCCGTCGTTAACTCCACAATTAGGAAAGAGTAATGAAGCTGATTTCCTTGGAAGCAACGAGTATGAATCACGCTATATGGTAGAATTGGAGCTAGCGAAATTGCGCATAGTCCAAAAAGAGAAAGAAATGGAATTAGAAAGATTACGACAAGGTAGTCGCGAATGTTCTTGTCACAATAAATCGCCTTACAAACCTTCTACTTCTCATAAAGTTTCTGTATCTCCTAATGATGAGTCCGCCAGAACCATATCTAAGTTTCTGGACATGCTTAAAGCATATCAATATTTTAAGTGGAATGCCGATGAACTTGAGTGTTGGATCAATGAAAAACTGCAAACATATACAAATGAGGATTTTAAAGAACTCAGTAATCTTCAGCTGAAAAAACAGAAATATCAAGAGTTTGAGTTCGAAGTAACAGTTCATGCTGAAACACTCTCAGCTCTAGATTCTACGGGAGAAGAAATGATTGGTCAGGGACACTACGCAACAGATATTATCAAAAACCGTCTTGATGAATTGCATGCCCTGTGGGAAAGGCTTATGGCTATTTTCAGAGAAAAATCCAGTGTCATTAACCTAAAGCTTAAATTTGTCCAGTTTTTACGCCAAGTCGACGAAATACTTTTCTGGATACGTGAAAACGAAACTTACGTAACATCAGAGGATTTAGGTCAAGACTTGGAAGATGTTGAGACACTTCAGAAAGGGTTTAATGAGTTTACAAAAGATCTCGAGAATCAAGAAAGTCGTGTCGAAGACATCTATCGGAAAGCAGATGAACTTCTAAAAGAGAAATTTCCTGAGGATGCCCTAGTCATAGAAAAGTTCAGACAGGTCCGCGAAGCTCTAGAACGTCTGAAGGATCTGGCTAGAAAACGACAAGAAAAGCTCCTGGAAGCCTATGAGATACAGTGCTTCTTTAGAGACACAGATAAAGCTATATCGTGGGTGAATGAAAAGTCTATTCCCTTATCCATTGAGGACTGTGGTCGTGATCTTGCCTCAGTCCAAGCCTTACAAAGGAAGCACGAAGCATTAGAAAGGGATTTGACTGCCCCAGATGAAAAGATTGTTCGACTTGGAGATGATGCTAAGGCGCTTGCACAGAAGCATCCTGATTCGCAAGACACTATACAAGGCAAGTATGACGCCTTAATCACTGCATGGGATAAGCTGAAAGGTCAGGCTGTAGATAGGAGAGGTAAACTGGAAGAGTCATTCAAGATGCATCGCTTTTTGGTTGACTGGAGAGATTTGAGTATCTGGATGAATGAAATGAAGACGTTAATATCGGCGGATGATTTGGCAAAGGATGTAGCTGATGCTGAAGCCCAAGTAGAGCGACATAAGGAATACACCACTGAGATAAATTCTCGAGCTGACAGTTTCGATACATGCATGCAAGAAGGTCAGGCACTACTAAGTGTTGGCCATCCCTGTAGTGAAGACATAGCCGCTAAACTTTCCACCCTTGAAAGAGAGAGAGCCTCCCTGATGCAGTTGTGTGAGGAAAGACGTGAACAGCTAGAACAATGTATGGGCCTTCAGTATTTTTACCGCGACGCTGAACAGTCGGAATCTTGGATTGGTAAGCAAGAGGCCTTCTTAGGAATAAAAGATGTGGGAGACTCACTCGATTCTGTCGAAGCAATCATAAGGAAACATGAAGACTTTGAAAGATCACTTTTAGAACAAGAAGAAAAGATGCGACAACTTGATGAATTCGCTGCAAAATTAATCGAATCAAACCACTATGCGTCTGCACAGGTTCATGAGATTCAGGAAGGTCTTCAAAGTAGACGAAATGCATTAAAGGAGAAAGCTCAGAACCGCCGTCAGCGTCTTCAAGATTCCCACCGTTGTCAAATGTTCGATAGAGGTGCAGATGAAATGCAGTCGTGGATATCAGGGAAACTTAATAATGCACTTGATGAAAGTTACAAAGACTCCACGAATTTGCAAACAAAGATGCAGAAGCACCAGAATTTCGAGGCAGAAATACAAGCGAACCAATCCCGCGTTGAAGATATTAAAAAGACAGGTCAGGATTTGTTAAATGCAAACCATTACAACTCGCCAGAAATAAAAGTAAAGATTGAACAGTTGGATGAAACTTGGTCTCATCTCGTAAATGCCGTGAGAGACAAGAAGAAAAATTTTGATCAAGCAAGTAGGCAACAACAGTTCGCTCACAACATAGAAGATGTCGAGTTATGGTTGAATGATGTTGAAGCTCAGATAGCCTCAGAGGATGTCGGTCGTGATCTAAACGGTGTGATGAACGCACAAAAGCGGCACAACTTGCTTGAATGTGATGTAGCTGCTCATCGTGAACGTATAGATGCATTCAAAGTCCATGCTGACACGCTTGCTGCAGAAAGTCATTTCGACGCCCCTATTATCCAAGAAAAACAAAGACAGTTAGCCCAACGTTACCATGACCTGCAAATCCCTCTAAGTCAACGTCGTGAGAAGTTAAGAGATGCCCTTCCCTCGGACACATCTTTGCAGCTTGAATATGGTGACTATAGGGAACTGATGAAGTTACTAGTCGATTGTTATAAAGATTTTAAAGCACATTCGCTTAACCAAATCGAATCAGAAATGTGGCATCAGTATGCTGAAAGCTTCACTACTGGCTCAGTAGCCACTCACAAAGATGCCTTCAGGTTATGGGTTAAAGATAAGAACTCTGTTGTTGAAAAGTATATTGGGTTTATAGAGTCATACCGTGATCCCTTTGGTGTTCGTGCAAGGTTTGAATCATTTGTCGCTGTTGTAAATAGATCAGTGTCTAAAAGATTCCAACGACTTGTGAATAATGCTGAAAGGTTGTTAACAAATTTACCATGGCCTTCTACATTTGAAAAAGTTAATTTCTTACAGCCAGACCTTACTAGTTTGGATGTAGTTACGTTTGAAACTTCTGGAATTCCTGTTGGAACTAATATTCCTAGCTATGATGATGTACGACAAGTTGATGGATTTAAAAATGTTTCTTTGAATAATATACTCAGTGTTCGTCTCGAGGATCCTAAACCACAATTTCTACGTAATGAAGACAAGCAAATGTACGTGGAACATGCTGAAAGTTCCTTTGAATTACAAGTTGGACCTCATGAACTGATGGGATATGGTTCAGGTAAACTGTTTTGGCGTGATTGTTATGGAAAACGAAATTTCCACACGAAAACTACTGAATATGTCATAAATGCAGATCCTGTAAAAGGTTGGTGTGAACCAGGAGAAACGTATGACAGCAAGTTTCCAAACCTTCCATCTGCAATAGATAAGTGTCGAGCTGAGTGCGTTGGAATTTATTTATCTGATTTATCCCTTGTTCTGGAGCAGTTCGGTCTGAATACCAACTGTGCTCAAGGCAATGTCTCAGATGTAGTCTATATTAATTGGTTGTCAATGTCTCCTTCAGCTGTAACTTCCATGGAGATTTATTCTGCAGGAGAAAATGCTGATGACATTGGATCATGGTGTCAAGCACATTATTGTGCTCGTTATGCGATTCTGCAAGTTTTGATTGAAGCTGACGATTCTATGGGACGTACACATAAAGTAGTCAGTGAGGACGATGCATCTGATTTGTGTATTTCCTTGCATCCAAAAAGACTTTTAACTGTGGCTCGTTCAGCAATTGGTGAATTCTTAAGAAAATTACAATATTACAAAGGTAAAACGAATGCTATGTATGGATATGCTTTCTCCCAACACTATAGTCAACTACTTCCAAAATATTTGACTGATTTGCTCTGGCATAAATGGCTACGTGGATATCTTCTGATGCTGCAAACAAGATCTAAGTGGTTGGATATAAAGCACAACCTACAACCTGATGATCTTGTCTTAGTTAACAGTGCTGACACACAGAGAGGTCTCTGGCGAAAGGCTATAGTTAAGCAGATGTACTATGACCAAGATGGCCACGTCAGGATGCTGTGTTTGAAAACTTCAACTCAAGAAATGGAACAAGATATAAGAAGCGTACGAAAGGTCAACGTGGTGGTCGTTCGCGGGGAGTGTTAATCGCGATAGATAGATAGACTGTATGATAAACAGCCAATCAATATTATGTGACCTTTCTTGTCGCGATTATTGGCCAATTTATTGTAACTCTCACCACGTGATGACCTTGAATGTTCTTTTTTGTCTGTCACTTTACTTGTATATACATGTAATTAATTGACTGTTCATTTTGTCCGTACCTTCAATACTGTTCGGTACGTTTTTGTCCTATTTTTGTAATGACAATGGATTTGTACATTTTTCTTGGTGTAATTGTATGGTTTATTTTATGTTTTAGAAACAGATAAAGTTAAAGTCAAGTCATCCTGTTTTTAACTATAGCTAAGCCGAGACTCTGTATCGTCAGTATTGAGGAAGGACTAAATCTGTAGGACAAAAATAATCCTACACACCGATTACCATTACCGTGACAAATTTGAAACTTTCATATCATCTAAGTATATATTTGCCACAGATTATTGGATGCCTATTGCTAGGCGCACAGTTTACCGATTATTACGCCATATGAATTTTACTTGACTGTAGTTACCACAGATTCTCATATTCAAGCCATATTTTCTCATTAAGTATGTACCAGACTGTAGCAGTAGTCTGCTGGAAAACAGGGCCCTGTTCGATCAGGAACAGTGGTCCAACTTATGTAGCACACTGGGTCTGGACATCCAACCAGTAAAACTGTGCAGATTGTATAAGGGCACTGCTGCTCCTCAAGGCAAACCATCCCCACTGAGAGTAACACTAGGCTCTGCCGAAGATGTCTGAAGAAAATTGGCCAAAAAATTGGACAGAGCTTACAGTAGAAGAACACTGGAGAGTGGTAAAGGAGATCATTCACCAGGCGGTCTCAGACACTGTTCCTTTAGTCACACCTAAAGCTAGAAAGCAACGTTCATGGCTAAAAAGGGGGACACAACGCCTTCTACAGGCGAAGCGAAAAGCCTGGTTTGCGTGGCGAGTATCGAAGAGTCAACCCGAACATGAAGTGTACCTCGAACTCAGGAATCGGTGTAACATACGAGTCCGGAGTGATAGAAGGACATTTCAGAGAAACCTCGCCAATAAGCTTCTCGTGAACCCCAAAAGCCTATACAGGTTTATGTCTGAAAGAAAACCGACCAACCAGGGAGCTTGCAATATAGTGGGTTCTGATGGGAAATCTCTTACTAGTCTTGAAATGGCAGAGACATTCAGTCTAGCCTTTCACAGGCAACTGAACAGTAATGAGGATTTTACCCTCACAAAACATCAAGATTACAATGCAAGACCAACGTGCGAAAACCTGCTGGGTACATTTCAAATTACCCCGGCTATGGTACTAGTAAAATTGCGAAAGTTGGCTTCGGGAAAGTCTGCAGGTTACGATGACATAAGACCATCCGTCCTGAAGCAGTGTTCAGAAAGCCTCTGCCAACCCCTAAGTGATCTGTTTCAACACTCTTTTGGTGTAGGGAAACTTCCACGTGAATGGAAACGAGCCATCCTATCCCCTATCTTCAAGGGTGGTGACCGGCAGAACGCGACCAGTTACAGACCAGTTGCGCTACTCCCAGTGATATCGAAGATATTGGAAAGTCTCATTGACGACCACATGAGAAAATACTTCGACGGGACTAACCTGCTCCATG